TCCTCAATATCCAATTTTACTAATAATGATGATCTTTGGGGGATTATGAAATAATATACTGGTAGTGAAGTAAAGCCATTTTAAGTGCTTTAGAGCTACCAAATTTTAGTTTCCTCAAGGATCTTCTCTGTTTCTTTTTTCTTTTTCGGTGTGCCGAGGATGCTGGCACTCAAGGGTTGGATTGTGAGATCTCACAACGGTTGGAGAGGGGAACTAAGCATTCCTTATAAGGGTGTGGAAACCTCTCTCGAAAAGATGCGTTTTAAAATCGTGAGGTTGACGGCGATGCGTAATCGGCCAAATCGGACAATATCTGCTAGGGGTGGGCTTGGGTGGTTACAAATGGTATCAGAGTTAGACACCGGACGGTGTGTCAACAAGGATGTTGAGTCCCCAAAGGAGGTCGATTGTGAGATCCCACATTGATTGGAGATGGGAACGAAGCATTCCTTATAAGGCTATGGAAACCTCTCCCTAGTAGACACATTTTTAAAATCTTGCGGGAAGCCTAGAAGGGAAAGCCCAAAAATGACAATATCTGTTAGTGGTGGGCTTGGGCGGTTACAAATGGTATGAGAGTCAGACACCGGACAATGTGTCAGCAAGGACGCTGGATTCCAAAGGGGTGGATTGGGTGGGGGGTCCCACATCGGTTGGAGAAGGGAACAAAACATTACTTATAAGGGTGTGGAAACCTCTCCCTAATAAACGCATTTCGAAATCCCAAAGATGACAATATCTACCAGCGATGGGCTTAAATTGTTACACCTCCAGCATCTTAATTATTCAAAATTTCCTTTATTTGTGTTATATTTTCTAATTTTAAATTATTGTGGCAATATTCTTGGGTTGAAATTTATGCAGGCCCAAGATCTTTTATCCAGCATTGCAGTGTTGGAAGATGCAGTTGTACGGCTCGAGCAAGAAATCGTCTCTTTACATTTCCAACTTAGTCAAGAAAAGAATGAAAGAAAGCTTGCAGAATATCGTCTAATGCATTCATCACCTTGTTCAACTTCTCGTTGCTCCAATTCTGACACCAAGAAAAAATCGGTATCTCACCACAATGTTCTTTTCTTTTGATGTAAATATACATCTTTTCTTTACCTAAAACTTCGTTTTTCTGCTGAGTTCTTCAATGCATTTAGTTAACGCTGTAGCTTTGTTTATGCTGAATCAGAGTGCAGTTGGCCTAGTTGAAACACATCCTGAGACGACGTCGGTGACAGAGGTCAATGAACGTTCCCGACCAATAGAATGTGACAAAATGTCTCGAGGGCCACTAGCAAGTGGCCTCTGGCATCACCCTAATATATTGTCAGAAGAAATGGTCAGATGTATGAAGAACATATTCATCTCACTAGCAGATTCAGCTGTGCCATCCAAATCATCAACAATAGAAAACCACTCACCTGTGTCACCCCGAGGACATCTCTCCAATTCGTCGTGGTGGTCGTCATCTGAACGGTCGATTATTTCATCGAGAGTACAAAGTCCACAAATTGATATTCCAAGTAGCTCTGAAGTATTAGCCACACAGAATGCTTGTGATCCATACAGTGTACGTGGAAAATTAAGCTGGGCTGACATTGGGAATTATTCACAGGCAGCTGAAGTTTCTTGGATGTCGGTCGGGAAGAAGCAATTAGAATATGCTGCTGGTGAATTGAGGAAGTTCCGGTAGTGTTCATAGACCATATTATCTTACTGCAATCTAGTTTTGGCCTGTTTTTGCTTTAATGTATCTGTTTTGTGAACAGCACTCTTGTTGAGCAGCTTGCAAAAGTGAATCCCATTCACTTAAACAGAGACGAAAGACTAGCGTTCTGGATTAACTTATATAATGCACTGATCATGCATGTAAGTCGCTTCTCCTTCTTGAATTTGGTTTAATACATTCATGGTCAGCTGTGAGCATATTTGTAAAATATGGAGAAACAAACTGTAACAGCCTTAGCCCACCGCTAGCAGATATTATCCTCTTTGGGCTTTCCCTTTCGAGCTTCCCCTCAAGATTTTTAAAATGCGTGTACTAGGGATAAGTTTCCACACCCTTATAAAGAATGTTTCGTTCCCCTCTCCAATCGATGTGGGATCTCACGAGTACCAATGAGGATGCTGTGGCCCGAAAGGGAGTGGATTATGAGATGTGGGGATTGAAGCATTATTTATAAGGGTGTGCAAATCTCTCCCTAGCAGACGCGTTTTAAAAAACCTTGAGGGAAAGCCCAAAGAGGACGATATTTGCTGGAAGTGGGCTTGGGCTATTACACAAAGAGATGCTAAGTTGGTTGTTCATATCTTGTCTTATTTTTTACAGGCTTACCTGGCTTATGGAGTTCCAAAAAGTGAACTGAAACTTTTCTCTTTGATGCAAAAGGTTTGAATTTTCAGGCATTATTTTGCTCCTCTCTTTTTCCTTGTACGTGGATACATATTTTAGAGCCTCATATTTCTTCTGTGTTCAATTATAAAATATAGTTAGGTCGTTTTCAGGTTTACCCTATAGTTACTTTCGTCCACAAGTAGTCATCTGTGAGATCCCACATCAGTTGAAAAGGGTAACGAAGCATTCCTTATAAGAGTGTGAAGACCTCTCCCTACCAGACGCGTTTTAAAACTGTGAGGCCAACGGCGATATGTAACGGGCCAAAGGAGACAATATTTGCTAGCAATGGGCTTGAGCTGTTACAAATGGTATCAAAACGAGACACCGAGTAGTGTGCCAGCGAGGACGTTGGGCCCCCGAGGGGGGGTGGATTGTGAGATCCCACATCAATTGGAGAGGAAACAAAACAGGTGGCTTGGGTGATAAGACTTGAGATGCATGAGTGTAATGGAAAGAGTGAGACCCTTCTTGGCTGCATAAGATAAGATGTGCATTCAAAGTCTGTGTTCATGTATCATTCTTGATATCACTTTGAAAGCAAGCAATGCACCGGTTCAGTCAAAATGTGTAGTTTCATCTCCAGGTTCTTTGTTTTTGGGTGTTAATGATGTATATCATTTGAAATGTACTCTTACAGGCAGCATACACAGTTGGGGGGCATTCTTTCAGTGCAACAGGAATTGAATATGGCATCCTCAAGATGAAACCACCAGTTCACAGGCCACAAATTGTATGCACTTGCTATAAAATGTTCTTACATTTTCTTGGTTATTCTCTGTACACACTTCATTGCCTCATTACCCTATATCATAACCAGGCTTTGCTTCTGGCTCTTCATAAGTCGAAGGTGACCGAGGAGCAGCGAAGATTCGCAATAGACAAACACGAACCACTTTTAACATTCGCTCTAAGCTGTGGAACGTACTCGTCTCCCGCGGTAATTCTAGACCAAAAAACTCACGTGTAAGATAGTGAACCAACATATTAACATTTTTCTACTTACATAGGTGAGGATCTACAATGCAAACAATATTCAAGAGGATCTTGTAGAGGCACAACGCGATTTCATTCGAGCTTCGGTAGGTGTTAGCAACAAAGGGAGATTATTGGTACCGAAACTGCTATATTGTTTCGCCAAAAACTCGGTTGACGATGCAAATTTAGCAGTGTGGATATCTCACTACCTTCCACCCCATCAAGCTGCGTTTGTTCAGGGTTGCATATCTCAGAGGCGACAAAGCCTAATCGGGTCTCGAAACTGTGGTATTCTTCCTTTCGATTCTCGCTTTCGATACTTGTTTTTGGCTGAGAAATCTTCGTTGCAATGATATCTTCATCCATGCTGCCTTTGGTTGGTTGCACAATGTGGGTGTAAATTTAGATTTTAGGAAGAATTGTTGATGTTAGGTAGGTGGAAATGGTGGTCCTAAGTTTTGTATATTTTGCATCTAAGGGGAAGGGAGTTTAGTTCATATTCTAAGGGTGATTCATGTGCATATTTATACAGTCCCAATAAGCTTTATCCTTTGTTTTTTTTTCCCTTCATTTTATATAGTTTGGCTAATCTCTTGTCTTGTTCTTTTTATATATGAATTTCATGGGTGGTCTCTTAGAAAAGATATTAAAATTTACTAGTTTTTTTTTTTTTTTTTTTTTTTTTTTTTTTCGCAACATGATATTAAACGATTATGAAAATATATAAATTAATATGTTTATAATAATAAAAAAAGATTTACTATGTCTAGTGAAGGACCCTAAAGACCTCACTCTCGAGGCACAAGTTCATATAAGATTAGACGTTTAATCTATATACAATCTAGATTTGTGTCAATATATGATATTTAAACTCGTATTTAATAAATTTCTAAATTTTTTATTTTGTGTATAATATGTTCATAAAGTTTTAAATTTGTATTCCATGGGCCCTCACATATTTGTAAAACGTTAACATGTTTTGTTAAATATATATTTAATAGGTCATGATTCTAAAAATTAATGTATCTATTAATTACAAAATTAAAAATTTTAAATTTATTTGTGTCTGCTAAACAAAATTAATTTTTAAAATTTTAATTAGAATTGAAAATTTTAAAGTTGATCAACACCAAAACATAAAAAATTCAAATTTCACCAAAATGCCTGTTTGATCATAATCAAACAGATGTTGGATTCGGTTCGTTTGGATTTTGCATTTTTTAGTGTTCTTTTAGTTAAAAAATGTTATCCAGTTTTGGTTTAGTTTTTTGAATCTCAAAAATAGAATCAAATAGCATTTACATTTCTTTCGGGTTTACTAATATTTAAAACAATCAATTTTATATTAAAAAAAACTTTTTTTTTAAATAATAAGAAAAGAAAAAAAAAAGAGCTATTCATGCAACAAAAGAAAAAAAAAACACATAAAATAAAATATTAAAAACTAATTTTGAGAACGAAAAAGATGAATTTAAGGTTGTAATGAAAGTAACAAAATAGCGCAGAAAAAAAAAAAAAAAAAAAAAAAGTGTAGTCAAGGTCCATCATCACCATCGCCGATCAAATTGCAGATATCTGAACACTCCACCAAACTGCAAAATCCCCAAAACTTAACCAATTATTAAGAAGGTTTGAAAATTGGTTTTAAAGTTAGGCATGGTTAGGACTCTCCATGATGGTAACATATTGTCCACTTTGAGCATAAGCTCTCGTGGCTTTGCTTTAGGCTTCTTCAAAAGGTCTCCTATCAATGGAGAGAGAAGGTTATTTGATTATAAACCCATGATCATTCCCTAAATTAGTCGATGTGAGACTTTCATCACCCAACAGGCATGACTTCGTTGACAACTTAATATATGCAAACACGAGATACGAACTAATAACTTCAAATTTTAGTGGTGGTTAGAGTTGGTCACCGACAGTAGTCGGTGGTTAACAATTACTGTAATGGCCCAAATTCATCGCTAGCCGATATTGTTCTCTTTGGACTTTCCCTTTCGGGCTTCTTCTCAAGGCTTTAAACGCGTCTGCTAGGGGAAGGTTTTCACTCCCTTATAAAGGGTATTTTGTTCTCCTCCCCAACCAATGTGGGACATCACAATCCACCCCTCTCTGGGGCCCAGCGTCTTCGCTGCCACTCGTTCCTTTCTCCAATTCAACGTGGGACCCTCACCAAATCCACCCCCCTTTGGGGAATAGCGAGAAGATTGGCACATCGTCTGGTGTCTGACTCTGATCTAGGTTGTTACAAATGGTATCAAATCCAGTCATCAGACAATGTGTCAACCTTCTCACTGTTCCCCGAAGGGGGTAGACACGAGGCGGTGTGCCGATACTGGCCCTAAAGGAAATGGATTTAAGGGCGGTCCCACGTCAATTGAAAGAAGGAAAGAGTGTCAGCGAAGACGCTGGGCCTCAAAGGGGGGGGTGGATTGTGATGTCCCACATTGGTTGGGGAGGAGAACAATTCATCATTTACAAGGGTGTGGAAATCTTCCCCTAGTAGACGCGTTTTAAAGCCTTGAAGGGAAGCCCGAAAGGACAATATCTGCTAGCAGTAGATCTGGGTCGTTATAATTACCGAACCGTCAATCGTAGCAACAAGGTTGAGGATCGCTGACTAATGACTGATCAAGGGTCGCCAATTGAGATTAGGGACCAAGTAGCATCTGGGATCAAAGACCATCGACTGAGACTAGGGATTGGTGATCGATGGCTGGTGATAGGAGAACATTGATTGAGATTGGGGGCTGATGAACAATGATTGGGACCGAGCGAACAATGACTAGTGTCCAGGACCGGTGGCAAGAAATCGAGTCCAGCAACAACTGACCATTACCTGAAATGGTCGTTGATCACTGGCGTCTAGTTGGTGGTAATCCCCAATTGGTAACCCTTTGTTCTTCAATTTTAAACTTGGTTTCAAATGTTTCATTTACTGACTTTTTTTTCTCAAACAAAAATGGAATAAAATTAAAATTACTATGAGATTCAAAGAGGTATACGTACCAGTATTGACGACTTCGAAAACCTTGCTTGAAAACAACAATCGGTCTGTAAACAATAAACGAAGAAATTCCAGAGATCAAACACTAAGAATTCGGCTTAAATGTCCTACAAATTTGTGTGTGTTCATCAATAGCCATTTTCCAATAATCTTTACTTACCTTCTGATGTTCAGAGGGCCTTCTCCGGGAGATCCATCACCGCCTCGAATGCATGTTCCAACGCACTTGATCGTACACGACTCCGCCTTCCTCGACTTCGGCCGTTGAATTCTCGCCTTCTTACAGTCGCTCGGCTGCGCGCACTCGCCGGAAAGCGTCTGCGGAATGTTAGACAGCGTAGTACTTTCTTCTTGTTGTTCCGATAAGTTGCTGCTACTCTCGACAGCGGCTGACGGCGCCGGCGAAACAATCACAACTGCAGCTGCCAAAATCGCCGCCGCAGTGGTTGCAATCCGGCAACTGGCTCTGGTTAGAGCAAGCGGAGCGGTGAATCGGACGACGGCGCTGTTCCAATTTGGATGCGCTAGGGCTGGTATCGGTGGAAATGGACCTTTTACATGGCTTATCATTCTGAAGTTTTGGATTCGATTTTGACTCTACTCTGCTCTGGCTTTCGAGAATCGAATCATCTTCCTCTTCTTCTGGATAATGTGTGTTGATTTTTGAAACGCTTTTTTGAAGATCGGCGTTGATCCACGTGTTGATATGGATGGCTTGAATATAGTAGGATGGGAAGAAAAGGGATAACTAGTTTCTGGCCCTGCTTTTATCACTCCCACCAATTTACCATTTCAACCTTAAATTAAACCCTAAGAAAATATAGTTTTTAGACGGGATGGAGCCGAATAAGGCGAAGACGGGAGTAGAGAATATAATCCCGACTCTTACCCAATTTATCTAACGGGATGTATCCCAGTTCCTCCCTCATTCTCCGTCTAAATTGGGAATCTCCTCTCCATTTGGGGCGAGTCCCCGCGTGGCTATGACCTTACGAGTAAAATAAACATCTCTATTTTGAACGATTATTAACTCCATGGGTGAAGTTTCTCTTCCTTTTTTTTGTCGAATTTTTTTTAACTGAATATCCATTCGGCTTCATGCTCGGTACAATCTCAAAACAAAAACCAAATAACAACAAAGGAAGTAAAAGGTATATTTTTATAAACATCGAGAAGTCTCTTAAGCTTTTCAATATGAGATCTTCGACAAAAGAGACGACTATGTGTTTAGTACACGCGAAAGATATTACAACAAGTGTCTAAACCACATGAATTTGATCGGAACATAAATACGTTCATATGCTTATTCTAGTGCAAGTCCTACATTTTATCCATCTAATAGTTTGAGAATACAAATAGCATTTGTACACCTTGTATTATACATGTGCACGACGAGCCTGGAGTCGATACTGAAGGATACGGTCTCTTCAACGACATCTATAGCAGCAGGTAATGAACAAAGGTAATGGGGGCGAGATCGAGTCCAATTAGAAGTATGTGATCAGTATGATTTCTGAGCTTTCCAGCTACATTGTTTCAGGAAGATCTTGTCCCTTGGTTTCAAATGGGAAGAACACAACACAGATCCCTGACACAAATAATACAATCTCAAACAAAACAATGGCCGCTGTTTGATGGCATCCTTTGACCAAAGCTACTGCCACAAGAGGGCATAACATTCCCCCAATTCTTCCAATAGAGCTAGCCACCCCAAATCCAGTTGTTCGGATTGAGGTCGGATATATCTGTGGTTTGCATAGATTGTAAGAGTATAAATAAGAAAGAGCTCGAGAAAAACTACATAAAAATCTCAAGGCAAGAAGAATTGTAAACATGGCGGAAAAATAAAGATGTTCTTATAAGAGAGCAAATCTATAACAATCCATAACATGAAGAGTAAAAGAGTTCAGTTTTAAAGAAGAAAGGTATATGATAGGAGAAAGCAAGTCCAGATTAAAAAAAGCGTAGTTACAAAAGCAGACAACAACAAACCATTCTCTTCCAACTTACCTCAGGAGCATATATACAGACAACTGTGAATGTAGATGTGATACATACGCGAGCTCCAAACAAAAGGCTCGTTGTCAATCCATCAATCCTATAAAACGCTAGGGGAAATAGAAATGTGGCGCCCAGGAAGAACAGTGAAGACATCGATAGCTTACGCCCGATTTTGTCAACCATGACAGCTGATAATGCGAGACCAGGTAACTCTTCAAAGAATATTTGTGGTTAGATTATCATCCATGCAACAAACGGTTGCCCCTAACTAGAGGAAACTTTGGAACTACCAGAAGACTGTTACCTGCAAAACTAGAGATAAAGACATCTCGGAAGTGGAAATCTTCATGTTCTTTTAGATGTAAATCAGTAGACGTACAGCTACTTGTCCCAGTCAACTCAGAGGTCAGCAACACGAGGCCATAGTAAGAGAAGGCATTTCCAAGGAAAACCACCCAGAGGAGCAATGTAGACACAATCAGTTCTCGAGAAAGAAGCTTTAACAATGGAGAGAGACCCACCATATTAAATTTTGTTGCTTGAGAAGTTTCAACTTTCGTTTGTGTTGGTGAAAGCAAATGTGCATCTTCCAGGGGAATACGTTGCTTCTCAAAATCACATGTGTCACTAGAAACAAGAACACCAGGAGGGAGATTTGTTCTATTACGTCGTGCTATTTTCTCTAAAATAATAGCTGCATCACTTGTTCTACCTTGTAAAATGAGATATCGTGGGGACTCCGGAGTAAATTGGTAGAAGAGTAGTAGGAGAAATGAAGGAAAAGAAGAAAGTGCGAGGAGCCACCTCCAGCCCAATTTTGGCATGACCATCTGCAAGTAAGAGGGTATACATAAAGGTGACTGCAACCATTTTAATGGTCTCGGCTGAAAAGCATAGACTATACAAAAATATATAAAATAAGATAAGAAAAGTGTAACAGCCCAAGCCTACCGCTAGCAGATATTGTCCTCTTTAGGCTTTCCCTTATAGGCTTCCCCTCAAAAATTTTAAAACTAGTTGTTAGGGTTTAGGGAGAGGTTTTCACACCCTTCTAAAAAATGTTTCGTTCTCCTCCCCAACCGATGTGGGATCTCACAATCCACGCCCTTTGGAGTTCAGCGTCCTTACTGGCACGCTGCCTCATGTCCACCTCCCTTCGGAGTTCAGTCCTGACAAATCACTCGGTACTTGGCTCTGATACCATTTATAAGGGCGTGATATATCACAGATCATTTGCATACAGCTACTATGAAATTTTATCGAAGGGAACACTAGAAATACTACGTAAAATTTATAAGAGTTAAAAAAATCTCCAAAATTAGATATCATTTGCTTGACCAGAAATGAACATGCACTGGAACATAACTGAATGCTAGATTATACCCATGCCAATGAAGCTTCAAGGATTGTTCCAATGGTCCAGAATGCTGAAAAAATAACCATCCACGCGCCTCTTTCAGGAGCAGGAATGAATTCCAAGAACCAGGATGCAAGTACAGGGCCACCTCCCAACCCAACGCCAACTAGACAGCGAAGAATCAACAAAGATATATAATTTGGGGCAAAAACACTTAGAAATCCAGCGATGGAAGTGATTGTTGCTGTAATGAAGAAACCTTTCCTGAATGAGAAAAGTCAAAATGAAAAACCAAAGAAAATATAGAATCAAGATTGTCATAAACGTTCAGTTCTATATCATAAGAACTCAATTTCAAAGTTTGGAATATAATACAATCTTTTATAAGTATCAGTCCAAAGATTGTTCAAATTGAAAGCCAAGGATGCAAGTAGATTGTTCAAAATGTATTAAGAAGTGGAAGGAAGTCGCATCATCAAGCATACACATATGTAAATGAAAGTGAAATGATATTAGAATAAAGGAGACCTGCCTTCGTCCGTAGATATCAGAAACTATGCCCCATGAATAGGCTCCAACTAACATGCCTGCAAAAACCACACTGGTAATCAAAGACTCTTCACGGGGAGAAAGGCTCCACGCAGACTGAACTGCAGGTCCAACAAAGGAGAGTAACATCATTTCCATAGCTTCTGAAACCCATCCCATTCCAGCATAAACAAGCACAAGAATTTGGTAATTCCCAAAACCCATGGATACAAGAGCTTCATCAATAGTGTACCTCGGACTTTCACCTCCATCCTCCACCTTACAAGACAAGGACAAGTATCATGCAAATAATTCATGTGGGAAATCTCCACTTATCTACAGATTTCATAATTCTTTCCTTTTGATAATAGTTTAAATTGATTGGCCCTTATAAGATAGTTGTTGGGTGTTCTGTTCCTTTGAATAATTGATCTTAAGAGATGGTTTGAACACAACTTGGAGGCACAAAACCTTCCTGCAAATCTCTAGATGTATTTGTAGAAACCAACGGAGCCCCATCCATCAAAAGCAAACAAAAACTACATTGGAAGAAAGGGCTCAAAGACTCATAAACAAATTACGCAACATAGAAAAACCATTCATTCAATTCCCCAAACCAATTATCACAATAATCAAAAGTTAATCCATGTTCAATTCCTCACTAAAAACAAACCCCAACCATAACAATTCCTTCAATCAAAACTTCTAAAAAGGAGTTTTCAGACGAAAACAAAACAGTACATGAATCAAAACAAACAAAAGGCCAGTAGACAGATTTGCAGGAAAACGGCACTGCACAAATGCAAGAAACAAGATTACAGAATCCTAACAGAAGAGTGTTCCCCACTTCATATCAACTCCAAAATCACAGGAAAGAATAACAAATGAATGAATCGAGTGTATAACGGATACAAATATTCATAACTAATCGACTAACAAATACGTAACGAAGGATAAAGAGAGAAAGAAGACGAACCTGCTGTGGTTCTGTAGAAATAACAAAGGGACGTTCCTCCATTTCAAGTCCCTGAATCGATTATGGCATCTGTAGATGACGAGCGTTTTATTTGAAGACTTCACGTACAAAATTTTTGCCAAATTTCCTGTTTTGCCCTTCACTATTTCTATCTTAGTAATAATTTTCTTACCTAAATTTTGTGTTAGAATAAATTAAAAAAATTAAAATTAAGATTTATTAAATTTTTAAATTATATTTTACTAGCAAGTGAAGTTTAACTTTCAATTCCATATTTAATTCATTTGATTCAAAATTAAAATTTTAAAAATTTATTAGATTAAAAGACAGTTTTTAAAGTGTATGGATTAAACCAACACAAAGTTGAAGAATTATAACTAAATCGTTAATTTAATCTCAACTTTATAAAAGTAATTATGTGTAGTTAACGAGTAATCAAATATCCAATTTTTCTTTTAGAAGTCATCTCAAACTTATCGTGAATCTACGTCCCAAGATGCTTTTGACATGGTAAAAGTATTTTTGTCATATCTAAAAGAATTTATTCTTTGAGTAGTATGTTTAGATATGACGTAATAGTGTTTTTGAAAAAATTAAAAACAGAGGGATCGCCTTTTACTTTTTTGTATCGTTAATATAGGGGTCGGAGTTTTGTTTATGGAGAATAAGATGCCTCGTAATAGAATGTCAGAGGACAAGATGACGACGAATCAAGTAACGGTGTTTGATATTGCATAGAAAATGTTACTAGAGTCCCGTATAAATAAAATATTTTCAATAATTTTATTACATACTTATATAAATTTTAATAAATAAGTAATTCATTTATTTTATTTTTTTAGTCAAAATAAATTAAGTAAATTATTATGGATTTATTATAATTAAATAATTAATAATAATAAAATTGTAAAATAAACAATTCATTAATTGAGTTTATTCCAAATAAAATAAATTAAAAGATGAATGTTATAAAAAATCTATATAAAAAAATTAATATTTTGTAGTCCCCAATTACTTCTAAGAATTTTATTTTATTACTTTTGTTAGTTTATTTTTATTAAATTAAATTATTAAAATAATTTTAATTCATTAAATTTTAATTTAATTTTAATTCATTGATAAATATATAAAAAATAATATGCATTTTGAATTTTTAATTGTCTTTCTATTGGATGATGGAAGTCCCACGTTGGCTAATTTAGGGAATGATCATGGGTTTATAAGTGAGGAATAGTAACTCAATTGGTATGAGGTCTTTTAGGGAACCCCAAAGCAAAGTCATAAGAGCTTATGCTCAAAATCGATAATATCATAATCTAACTCCTCATATATGATTTTAGTTGTTGACCTCCCGTCATTGAGCGTTGACCAAAGAGCAACTCTAACAACCAATCAAATTTAAGGTTATTAGTTCATAATATTTAATAATCCTTCTTTATAATTAAGTGTATAATAATACAAAGTTAATAAGTTTTTTCATATCAAAAAAATACTCACACTTTTATGGAAAGCAATCAATAAAAGATTAAAAGATACTCTGTAGTAATTTGCTTTGCTTTCTTAGGAGCAAGAACTTAATAGAGGTAGGATGCAGATTATCTATTCATAAAATATTTAAATATTTATTATTAAAATAACTTCAAAAATACCTATAATTAAAAAAATACACATTTACTATGAGTACGCATCTCAGGAATGGTAAATTAAAACGTTTGTAAATAAACCATCAGGTGTGAATAAATGAACTTAAACTAGATATAATGTAGTTTGCATATCAAAATTGAAATCTGCAGTAGCACAATTGGAAAGTTTCTGTATGAGAAATTCCAGGTTCGATTCCTGGCTGCGGAAATAATTTTCTATTAAACATGGGCATCATTTTAGGAGACTTTCAAGCACATCAATAAACTATAAAAAAAGCAGGTGTATCATTAATTTGTGTACCTCAGATCTATCAAACGGAGGTGTATATTTATTTCAATATTAAATATGGTATATTATTTATTATCAAAATTTCATGTACACCAACCTACTTTTAAATATGGATATAACATGCTATCAAATTTACTTTTTTTTTATGTGTACCTTAAAAATTTATAAGTCAAAATTTTAAACCCTGAAAAAATTATTATAAAAAACTTGATTTTATTTTTATTTTTAGAATTTAGCAAAAAAATAATTGAAATATTTAAAAAAAATAAAATTCATCCTATAAAAAATATAATGAAAAATATAAATAGTTTTTAAAACGCATATATTAGGATAGAGGTTTACACACCAAACACATGTACTAGGGAGATGTTTCTACCCTTATAAATAATGCTTGGTTCTCCTCCCAAACCAAGGTGGAATCTCACCATCCACCCATTTCAAGACCAAATATCCTTAGTTCGTTCTCCTTTCCAATATGGGATTTCATAATCTACTCTCCTTCCAAACCTAGCGTCCTCATAGGTACTTGTTCCCTTCTTCAATCGATGTGGGACTCCTTAATACACCTCCTTCAGGCCCAACGTTCTTACTAGCACATCGCCTCGTGTCCACCCCCTTCGCTCAGCCTTTTCACTAACACATCGCTCGGTATCTAGCTCTAATAGCTAAGTCTAATGTTAGCAAATATTGTTCTTTTTGAGCTTTCTCTCAAGATTTTTAAAACGCGTATAGTAGGGAGAGATTTCTACACCCTTACTAAAAAAATGCTTAATTCTCATTTGCAATAGAGTTCGAGTCTCACGGATACCATTTTTAAATGGGAAAGCACATGCATGTGGGATCCTCCAATTGACCAAGTTGACAAGTTAGAGAATCGAAGAGCCATCACTCCTTCCAATGCTTCAATATTTAATTTCCTTGTACAATATATTTTATCCCACTTGACATTTAAATAGAGATTATGTTTACATTTATATTGACATGTTAAAAGAAAGAAAAAAAAGAAGTTAACACCTTCAATCAAACTAGTTTGAATCATTGAAATGGCGGAAGGAGGTGAATCCCTTGTAACCAAATTGGGCTCTCCTATAATCCCACAGTTTCAATTGCTTTGGGGAGTGGATGATGAGCTTAACCAGCTGAAACATACTATTTCAGCCATGGAAGCTGTGCTTCTTGATGCAGAGGAGCAACAATCCAACACCCATGCAGTGAAGAATTGGATTTCAAGGGTCAACGAGGCTTTCTACGATGTCGATGACTTGATCGACGAGTTCGCTTATGAAACCTTGAGGCAACAAGCTATGGCCGAAGCTAAAAGAGGGATAAAAGAGGTACCTGAAGTTTTCTCTCTGCCTCATCAAATTGCATTCCGATTTAAAATGAGTCACAAAATTAAAGACATTAAAGGGAAATTGAAATCTATTGATGCTGATAAAAACCAATTCCATTTCTCTGAGCGTATGATAAATACTCGAGATGATGAACTGAGGAAGAGTCGAGAGACTTCCTCTTTCATATGTGATGATGAAGTGGTGGGAAGGGATGACGACAAGAAAGCAATTATAGATCTTCTCCTAAATACAGATCCTAAAACCAAGGAGAATATTACAGTGATTGCCATAGTTGGAATGGGAGGATTAGGAAAGACAGCACTTGCTCAATCTGTCTACAATGATGAAAGCACCACGAAATATTTTGAGATGAAACTATGGGTGTGTATTTCTGAAGAGTTTGATGTGAAGGTTATTGTTGAAAAAATAATAGAGTCTGCAACAAGAAAGAAGCCTGAGATTTTTCAAATGGATTTGTTGCAAAGTGAACTTCGAAAGCAAATTGATGGAAAAAAGTACTTGCTCATCATGGATGATGTGTGGAATGAAGATTACGAGAAATGGGTTATTCTCAAAAGATTATTGACGGGTGGTGCATCAGGCAGTAGAATTTTGATCACGACACGTCATCAGCGAGTTGCAGAGACTTTTGACACAACTTCATATTATGCTTTAGAAGAATAGGATGACAAAAATGCTTGGCTATTGTTAAAAAAAAATGGCTTTAGGAGGCGAAGAATCAGAAAAAGAACTTGAAAATTCGAATCTAGTCGAAATTGGGAAGGAGATTGTGGTAAAGTTAAAAGGCCTTCCTCTTGGACATCTTCTATATGCCAAAAAACCAGAACATCATCTTTGGTTGGCTTTCAAAGATAACGAGCTTTCTCGAGTTTTGAAACAAAGAAAAGAGACACAATTCATGCTATCAATATTAGAGCTCAGTTATAGCCCTCTCCAATTTAGTTTGAAACAATGTTTCTTATATTGTGCTATATTTCCAAAAGATTACAATATTCCAAAGGATGAAGTTATAAAGCAATGGATGGCCCAAGGTTTCATTAAGTCAATTAAGTCAATTAGTACACTTGAGCCAAATGATATTGGGGAAGATTATTTCATGGAATTATTATCAAGGTCATTCTTTCAAGACGTCACAAGAAATGAAATGGGTGACATAATAAAGTTTAAGATTCACGACTTGATGAATGATCTTGCTTGTTCTATAGTGAAAAATGAATATGTTACTATGGATGAGAAAGATAAGGTCGTCATTGAAAGAACCAGACACATCTCAATTTATCATAAATTTGGTATAAAGTTCGGATCCTTCAAATTATTGTTTGAGGCAAAAAATTTGAGGACATTAATTATTGATGCTCCTACTCACAATGGCAAAAAAGCCCTTAACCTAATCTCTACCAAGTTCTTGCAATGGAGGACATTGTGCTTGAATTTTGCTTATGCTACTCCTTCAGAAGTATTGCCTAAATCTATTGGCAAGTTGAAACATTTAAGGTATCTGAAGATAATGTTATTTCATCTTTTGTTTCTTCCAAATTCTATAACTAAGTTGCATAATTTGGAAACACTTATCTTTGATGGATGTAAGCGTTTACAAGAGTTGCCGAGAGATGCAGAAAATTGGATGAAGCTTAGATATCTAAGTCTTGCTAGAAATTGGGAGATAAAACTCCTTCCAGATTTTATTGCTGCATTGCACAATTTGGAAACATTTATCCTTCAAGATTGTTCTCTATTAAGAGAACTGCCGAAAGGTATTAAAAAATGTGTCAACTTTAAGCATCTTGATTTACATGGTTGCAGTGCTTTGACTCATCTGCCTAAAGGACTAGGTGAGCTTACTAGTCTTCAAACAATGAATTTGATTGTACTAAAGAAAGATACTGGTTGTGATTTAAGCGAGCTGAATAGACTGAACAAGTTGAAGGGCAAATTAACTATTAAAGGATTGGAAGTTTGTACAGCTGATGATTTAGAAATGAATTCTTTTAACTTACCATTGAAGTTGGGTGTTCTAAAGTAAAAGTTAGTTTAGAACTATTCCAAAGACGAGCACACGAATACTGTCTTGGACAATGAGTGCAAAGGAGTTTAAAATGCTTAGAATCACATTCAAACGTTCGAAAGATACACATATGCAGATATCGAGAAGTCAGACTATGTGATTGGCTATCCTCTAATATCCTTTTTAACTTGGTCAGCATAAAGCTTTCAGATTGCTTCAAATTGCAAGCTCTTCCACAATTTGATCAATTTCCTTGTCTCAAGTATTTGGGTCTTAGATCATTACCCAACATTTAAGTACGTTGACAACCGTAAATATCCTTCTTTGTCAATATTTTTTCCATCCCTTGAAAAATTATGCATCGAAGACATGCACAATTTAAAAGGATGGTGGAAGAGTGAAACTTTATCAGAAGCTTCTCCAAACAATGCATCATTTCCTATTACAATGTCTTGCATTTCTAAACTTGTGATCGATGGTTGTCCTCATTTGGTTTCAATCCCTTGGCATGCACCTTTGAAGTCACTCAATATGAGTGCAATTAGTTCACAACTACTTACTGTGGTGATTGAAAGGACGGTCAATCACTGTGTTGAACACTTATCTTTTGTTTACATCAGTGAAATTGATGATTTTGAGTTTCTACCAAAAGAGTTATTCTATCGTTTCACAAATCTTTGGCGTATTGTAATTGAAGATTGCAAAAGCTTGCAAATGTCTTCTTCTCTTGTACATTATCCTATGAATGATGTACTATGGAAAGAGTTTCGAAGTCTCCAGTCTTTTCGTTTTTGTAGAATTCCCAAGTTGGAGTATTTGCCTAATGGGATGCGACATGTGACAACTCTTCAAGACATTTACATAGGCGCATGCCCAAATTTAATAACTCTACCAGAATGGATAGGCGAACTCACAACACTCTCAAACCTAATGATCTACCGTTGTCCAAAGCTCAATTCATTGTCGGAAGGGATTCACCACCTCCGCTCTTTAAAATTATTGAGAATTCGAGATAGCCCCAAATTGATAGAGAAGTACAAGGAAAAAGACGGAGAAGATTGGCAAAAAATTTCTCATATCCGTTACGTAGACATTTCATAACTTCAAGACAATGAAGAGAAGAAAAAGTTGTTCGTCCATCAGCTGTAGGCATTATCACGTATGCAAAGTCATTCCTTCATTTTATCTTTTATTTTCTTGGAATCTTCTAAGAAGATCAAGTTTAATCCGTTCGTGATTACTTTAATCCTTTTTTTTATTGCTCAAATTGAAAGCTTTCGATATTAGATCTTTAAGTGAGTACTTTTTTATTTATATATGTTTTTTTTTTCATATTGTGAACACAAAATTGAGGCTCCACATTTCACAATTAACTTCTCAAATGTCTGAACTTACTCTTTAAAATTTGAAAGCAAAATATAAAATCAAAATACAAATAGAAGATCAATCAAAATTATGATAAACAGAATATCCAAGTGGTTGGTCACCCAGACATGATTTTAGTTGTTGGCCTCCCGTCATTGATCCTAGTTTTTGGTCATGGATCTTTAGTCCTAGCAAATTAGAATTGGCAAGCGAGGCTGTTGATCGAGGACCAATTGACAACCAATCAAATTTAAGGTTATTATTTCATAATGTTTAATAATCATCCTTTATAATTAGTAGAAACATAAGTGTAGAATAATACAAAGTTAATATGTTTGGTCATATATCATCTCACATTTTAGCTCACGATTCGTTCTAGAGAGAAAAAAAATTACCCAAAAATTATTTTAAAAGTATATATAATTTACTTTGCATTGGTTAATTAAAATCCGCAGTAGCACGGTTGCACAATTGGTTAATATCCTTGATTCTCATCGAGTTATCGAGGGGTGATTACCAGGTTCGAATCTTGGCTGCGGAAATCATTTTTTTCCTTATCCCAATTTGGGCTTTTGGGCTAGAAGAAAACCATTTGGGCTTTTGGGCTAATTGGGCTAGAAGAAGGGTATCCCAATTTATGTATTAGATTTATGTGGAGAAATTGTCCCCATAGGAGGTGCTACTATATCTATCATTTTTTGTGATAACATAACGTTTGTATCCACGTTTTGCTCCCGTTCAACACAAATCTTTTGTCAAAAACACTCTCTCAAGAATATTTTACCTGGAGATTGTTTGAAATTACTTTAGAACTTTTTAGAATGAAAAACTTAATAGGGTGGAGAGATATTTATGGAAGAGACGGAGTGTAGATTAAAAAATATTTATTTCTAAAATAACTATAAAAAAAAACCTTAAAACTTAAAAAATTTTAATAATACCAACTTCCAAAAAAAACTTTCTTAAAAAAAACTTCAAAATGGTTTAAAAATACTCGAGTTTTCGAAGGATTCATCAATACCTTGAATTCTTTTGTAAAAAAACTTCAAAAACACCTCTAATTAAAAAAAAACACACCTTTACTAGGAGTACCACGTTTCAAAAACACTTATAGAAACGGTCAACGCAATGTTAAAACGTTTGTAAATAATACATTAGGTGTCATTTAATGAATGTAAACTATATAAAACCTAGAATTGGAAAGTTTCTCTTGAGAAATTCCAGGTTCGAATCCTGGCTGCGGAAAACAAGGTTTTTCTTATCCTGAATTGGGCTTTTGGGCTCGGACAAAGACCAGAAAAGCCCAATTTGTTTCTAACAAAAAACAAAATCACCTGTAAATTTGAAGCCACATATATAGAATTTTCCTTTTTTCTTTTTCTTTTTTCTTTTTTTCTTAAAGTGGTTGGCAGAGAATCTAATTCCAAAATTGTTAATTGGAAGTGATTGAAAAAAAAAAAAATGCTATAACCACAAAAAGTTGGTCGGTCGAATATAGGCCGTTTGAGTTTTTGACCGGCCAGAGAATCAAATATCTATAGACTCTTGAGACCAAATTTTCTAGAGCTAGATGAAAAAGTCGATGATAACTTATTAGGTCATTAGAGCCTACAAATAGGTGGTTTACTTGACCATGCTTATACTCCTTATATACTACTTTCATAATCTAGGACCGATGAATGTTGATCAAAATAGAAGAGCGTTTGGGAATTGTGTGGTCATAGAAGAGAAACGTCCCAAAGCGTCAGTTCTATGACACTGTTGGGAGTTGTCGTTTGTATATTTCTGTATCTCATTTCCTGGTCTCGTTTTGTAATAAACTTTTAAAAAGCACTTTAATTTATAAACGTTTTTTAAATGGGGTAAAAGTAAAAAAACGTAGAATAATCATCTTTGTTATTGTCAAAAAGTAATGAAAAATAAAAATGCATTTGAGATTTTGAAGAATACCAATAACTTTGTAAAGATTTTTGTAAAGATTTTGGATTGGTTGAGAGTATTAGAGGCATTTATGGGTGCCTCAAGCTCTTACACCTTCAATAAGTATGAGAAGAAGAAGAAGAAATTTCATTGGAACTTGTTAGAACCATAGCAATGGCGGAATCAATCCTATTCGATGTTGCCACATCCCTTGTAACTAAATTGGGTTCTCTTGCTATCACAGAGATTCAATTGCTTTGGGGGGTCTATGATGAGCTTGACAAGCTCAAACATACTATTTCAGCCATGAAAGCTGTGCTTCTTGATGCAGAGAAGCAACAATCCAACAGCCATGCAGTGAAGAATTGGATTTCAAGGGTCAAACAGGCTTTCTACGATGTGGATGACTTGATTGACGAGTTCGCTTATGAAACTTTGAGGCGACAAGTTATGGCCGAAGATAAAAGATGGGCCAAAGAGGTACGTGAAATTTTCTCTATACCTCAACAGAATGCATTCCGATATAAAATGAGTCACAAAATTAAAGACATTAGAGAGAAACTCAAAGATATTGATGATGATAAAAATAAATTCTGTTTCTCTGAGCTTATAGTAAATACTCGAGATAATGAGTTGAGAAAGAGTCGAGAGACTTTCTCTTTTATATGTGATGATGAAGTGGTGGGCAGGGATGACGACAAGAAAGCAATTATAGATCTTCTCTTAAATACAAATCCTAATACCAAGGAGAATATTGCTGTGATTGCCATAGTTGGAATGGGAGGATTAGGTAAGACTGCACTTGCTCAATCTATCTACAATGATGAAAGCACCACGAAACATTTTGAGATGAAATTGTGGGTGTGTATTTCTGAAGAGTTTGATGTGAAAGTTATTGTTGAAAAAATTATAGAGTCTGTAACAAGAAAGAAACCTGAAAATCTTCAACTGGAATTGTTGCAAAGTGAACTTCGAAAGCATATTGATGGGAAAAAGTTCTTACTCGTCATGGATGATGTGTGGAATGAAGAATACTGGAAGTGGGTTGTTCTCAGAAGATTATTAACGGGTGGTGCATCAGGTAGTAGAATTTTGGTTACAACACGTCATGAACAAGTTGCAAATACTTTTGACGCAACTCCATGTTATACTTTAAGAGCATTGGATGACAAGAATGCTTGGCTATTATTCAAAAAAATGGCTTTCGGAGGCGAAGGATTAGAAAAAGAACTTGAAAATTCAGATCTAATCGAAATTGGGAAGGAGATTGTGGTAAAGTTAAAAGGCCTTCCTCTTGCAATAAGAACGATAGGACGTCTTTTATATGCCAAGAAACCAGAACATCATCTTTGGTTGAATTTCAAAAATATGGAGCTTTCTCGAGTTTTGGAGCAAACAAAAGAGACACAATTCATGCTATCAATATTGGAGCTCAGTTATAGCCATCTCGAACCTAGTTTGAAACAATGTTTTTTATACTGTGCTTTGTTTCCCAAAGATTGTAACATTCAGAAGGATGAAGTGATAAAGCAATGGGTGGCACAAGGTTTCATTCAATCAATTGGCACAGTCGAGGCAAATGATATTGGTGAAGAATATTTCATAAAATTATTATCAAAGTCATTCTTTCAAGACGTCACGAGAAATGAAATGGGTGACATAATACAGTTTAAGATGCACGACTTGATGCATGATCTTGCTTGTTCAAGAGTAAAAAAGGAATACATTTATAT